AGAATCTCCCCAGAAAGTGGAACCAAAATATCAAGACAATGTGAGAGAAAAGGATCAATTGATGGTCTGATTCTGAATTTTAGAAAGGAGATCCAGAAAGAAGAGAGAGGGTGGAGAAGAAAAGAGAAATCAAAATTCCTGTGGGATGAAGGATATCATTGGCTTAAAAGGGCTTACTGAATTCCCAGCACCACCAATGTCAAAAGATCTTTGCTGTGAAAGTCAATTACACCATTAGCAAAGAACTCTAACATGCTTTTAAAATGGAAAAACCAGTCACCCGTGAGAGGAAGAAAATTATACTTGCAGTACAGTTAACAACACTGATTGCCTTTAAAAATTCTGAGGAAAAGGGGTTTTTACCTAGAATTTTATATCTAGCCAAACACTCTGACAATTTACCTTCACTCTCTATTTTATTTTTTAGAGATAGGGCCTTACTATATTGCCCAGGCTGGAGTGCAGTAGCTATTCACAGGTGCAATTATATCCCAACAGAGCTTCCAACTCCCGGGCTCAAGCAATTCTCAGAGCTGCTGGGACTTAGGTGCACATCACAGTGCCTGGTTACCTCCTTTTTCTAAGGAAATGATACAGTATTTGAAGATGTGCTGGAGCTAAATGAAGGTGTAAAACCAGAGACCCAGGAAGAAAATAGTGTGTACACTCCAAGGAAACAGCTAAGTCCCACATGTTAACTGAACAGAGGCCTATGACCAGTTAAGATTGGTGCAAGGCTGGGGATGATAGCTCATGTCTATAATCCCAGCACTTTGGGAAGCTGAGGTGGGAGGATCCCTGGAGGCCAAGATTTCAAGGTTATGTTAGCTATGATTGTAGCACTGTACTCCAGCCTGGGAGATGAAGACCCTGTCTCTCTCTCTCTCTCTTTTTTTTTTTTTTTGAGACAGGAGCCTCAAGCTGTCCCCCTGGGTAGAGTGCTGTAGCATCACAGCTCACAGCAACCTCCAACTCCTAGGCTCAAGTGAATCTCCTGCCTCAGCCTCCCAAGTAGCTGGGACCACAGGTGCCTGCCACAATGCCCGGCTATTTTTTGGTTATAGCCATCATTGTTGTTTGGTGGGCCTGGGCTGGATTTGAACCCGCCACCTTGGGTGTACGTGGCTGGTACCTTAGCCACTTGAACCACAGGTGCTGAGACCCTGTCTCTCTTTAAAAAAAAAAAAAATTGGCCCAGGTGCGGTGGCTCATGCCTATGATCCTAACACTCTGGGAGCCAAGGCAGGTGGATTGCCTGAGCTCACGAGTTCGAGACCAGCCTGAGCCAGAAGAGTGAGACCCTGTCTCTAAAAATAGCCAGGCATTGTGGTGGGGGCCTATAGTTCTAGCTACTTGGGAGGCGGAGGCAAGAGGATCCCTTGTGCCCAAGAGTTTGAGGTTGCTGTGAACTATGACACCATGTAACTCTACCAAGGGGAACAAAGTGAAACTGGGTCTACAAAAATTATTGGTACAGAAAGACAGTGGGTCCTGGGCATTAGGTCTGAAAAGAGAAAACCTGATAGAATGGTTGACTAGATAGAGAGGTTGAAGAGAACTAAAACTATGATAAAACTGAGTACAAGAAAAAGACAACTAGAAACTCTGGGAAAAACAGAACACTATACAGGAAAGACTAGGTGATTGTGGTACTGTGATTCAGGCTCTGCAGTGAATAGTAGTTATATAGTCACAATAATGTAAATTATTTAATTTCCAATTTTTATTAAAAAGTAAAAAAAAATTTAAAAGTGGGAAAGTCTCACTCTGTTGCCCAGGCTAGAATCCTGTGGCATCAGCCTAGCTCACAGCAACCTCCAGCTCTAAGGTTCAGGTGCTCCTCCTGCCTCAGCCTCCTGAGTAGCTGGGGCTACAGGTGCCCACCATGAGGTCTGCCTAATTTTTCTATTTTTAGTAAAGATGGGAGTCTTGGCTCGGTGCCTGTGGCTCAAGTAGCTAAGGCACCAGCCACATACACTTAAGGTGGCAGGTTCGAATCCAGTCTGGGCCCGCCAAAACAACAATGATGGCTGCAACCAAAAAGTAGCCAGGCCTTGTGGCGGGTGCCTGTGGTCCCAGCTACCTGGGAGGCTGAGGCAGGAGACTCGCTTGAGCCCAGGAGTTGGAGGTTGCTGTGAGCTGTGATGCCACAGTATTCTATCCAGGGAGATAGCTTGAGGCTCTGTCTCAAAAAAAAAAAAAAAGATAGAGGAGTCTCTTTCTCAGGCTGGTCTCTAATCCTAAGCTTAAAGGGATCCTCCTTCCTTGGCCTCTCAGAGTGCTAGGATTACAGGCATGAACCACCATGCCCAAGCCTATCCTCCACTTCTTCTTTCTTTTTTTTTTAGAAATGTATATTCAACTTTACTGCATTAGAAACCTTAATTTAAGGCACATGGTGACCATAATGCCCATTTCTTGAGTAGGCTTTGTCATCCCATGACCCACATACACACTGTGTTGGAAGAAAGACCTTAAAATGTGAAACAAAGAACAATGAGAATAGGACACTGAATATTTCACCCTTTCCCTCCCTACGGTCAACCTACACACTTCTTCAACTGCTATCCAAATATAAAGGAGCTCTCACGAAGAGAAGCTGAACACCAAATAAACCAAGCATATGACACTCAATGCCAAAGGAACCCTTGGCAGATGTTTAGGAAGTAAGGTTGAAAACATCTCCCAACAGCTGAAGTTGCATACAGCCCAAGTCCCCATCTAAGAGATGTCAGAGCCACACTGTTGAGGACAACAAAGCACACAGCAGACACTGGGAAGAAGAGTAAGATCACTCCATCTCACAGGCAAAGGCAACCCATGCACTCCTGTGCATTAAATAGGCTCTTTTTCCTGGGCAAGGAGCATACTGTTGGACAGGTCCTTCCAGGTGCAGTAACAGTTCCCTACAGACACCAGTGCTCAGCTTGCCAACTAAGAAATGGGACTGATATGTTTAAGTTAGTGTTCCAAGGTATGGCCAACTCAAGGGAAGTCTTTATCACACTCCTCTGGATGTGAAGGCCCTTGGGGGGCTCTGTGTTGGTGACTTCTCAGCTGACTCAGCTGACTTTTGGTGATCCATGAGCTCCCAGGCAATAGGCTCTCCAGTCAGCCCCCCCAGGACTCCATCAGTTTTAACAAAGATGGAGAGCAGGGTCAGCCCTGCCCCCAAAAGGTAGAATCAGGCTTCATGGCTGAAAGGATCCTGCTCCTTTGCAAAGCAGCTTTTGGGGGACCTCTGGATCCTCGAGAAGAAAAAGCCAGAAGCGACTCACTTTTGGTCGCTGGAGTCATGCAAGAGTCGAGGGGAAAGTGGGCCAACGAGCAGCAGTGCAGGACCACCACAGACACAGCTCTCAAAACCCAACAGTACAGCCCTGTCCTCCATTTCTTACCTCAAGTTCATATCCTGCTGATCTAGGCTCTCACCTGGCTAAGAGTTCTGCTTTTTTCCCGTCTCTCATTTTGTTATCCTTCCAATCTTCATCCCCATTCACCCACCATCTTTTCAGCCAAATTAGAAACCCAGGTCGCTTGTGATTCCCCCTCACTTTTGCAGCTCCTGACCTCCCCACTTCTCTGCTGACCTTATTCATGCCCTTTTACCCTCACTGCCTCCCTCCTCATCTCCCAGCATCAGAGCAACACACACCTAGGACTTCCTACCCATGGGCACTCGATGCTGAGTGCTCTGCCACAGTTCATCTTCACAGCTCCCCTCTGCACAGATGGCCACCACTTTCTTCTCAATGATGAGGAAATGTACATAAGGTCCAGAGCTATTAAGAGCAACACATGATCCGAACCTGTCTGGTTCCAAACCCCATGATGCCACTCATTGTGCTATCAACTCTCTTTAGGGCTCCAGGTGACCACTGCAAACACGTTCTTCAACAAGGCTTCTCAGTGACCCCAGAGTGAGCCTGCGACTTCTAGTCATGCCCAGATTCTAGTGCAGCCTCAAAGATCCAGCCTGGGGTGACTCTGCTATTGTTTTTAATTTCTTGGCATCCAACTCCCTACCCCTTGCCCCAAGTTCAAGCCACTCTAGAGCACATGGCCTTTTGTGCCTCTGTGCCTTCTTTGCACATGCTATTTCTTATACCTAAAGCCCTCTTCTGGCAGAATCCTACTCATGCCTGAAAGCCCAACTCAAATCACCAGTGTCATCTGCAGTGTGACAGACAAACCTAGTTGTCCAGCCTACATTGTAACTTGTTTAGTCAACACATCAGGCTCAGGGCCTAGCACAGACCCCTGAAAGGGGTGCAGTAATTACAGGAGAGATATTAGGTGTCTGTGTTAAATTTGTTACCCCACAAATTTCACAAAGGGGAGAAGCTGCTCTGCAGTTGATTTCTAAGTCTTTTTAATGCTAGTCCCTGACCTGGGAGAGATGATCCCCAAAAGAAAGCTCCATTTCAGCAGGGATCTGAACCCCTCCATGGGAAGAGGAGACTCAGGGCACTGAGGTGAAACATCTTTTGTTCATGGGAACGATTAGTCTACATGCACCAAAGGGCACTCAGCATCTTTTGCTGCATACTGTTCCTCCCTGAAAAGCTTCACGCATCAACCAGGGGCAATTGGACGTGATTATTGGGATCATCTGCAGGGGTGGTAATTCACTGCACAAGGTCGCTACTTCCTCTGTGGGCCTGGAACCTCACCAAGAACCGGCTGAAAGTGCAGCCTTTTAACCCCAAAGTGTGCACGCGTGCCAGTGCACACGTACGTGTGCATGGTGCGGGCTAAGGCTGCGAGCGACAGTCCGGGTACAAGGGATGGTTTGGCTGGGGTTGTGGGGTTAGGAAGTTTGGGACAGGGGGAGGAGCCCCGGGCTGATTCCTGGCCGTCCCCTCTGCGCACCTCCCTCCGCCCCTCCCCGGCCCCTCCCCCTCCAACCCCCAGCCCCGCGCACCTCCCTCCGCCCCCTCCCCCCGCCCCCCGTCCCCGGGCACCCCGCCCCGCTCCACCGCGGGCCCGCCCTCTCCCACCTGTTACCCCCATGCTGACCGAGGCTCTGTCTGGGAGGCGGGGAGCGGGCTGGTGGCTGCTGCCCCTCCGCCTCCAGTGCGCTCTTTGGCTGGGGAGTTGGGACACTGGAGATGCCAGGGGCTGCCAGCGCCTGTGATGTTGGCGCCTCTATGACGTCCCTACCGCGACATGGCCGTCCGGAAACCGCGCTCTGGATTCCCGAGCGAGTGCAGCGAGGGAGTCGTCCTCTGAAGGCTGCCGGCCTGCAGCCAGAACCCCTTCTTACCCGAAAACCTCGGGTCCCTCGGGTCCTGCCGCAGGCCCAGAACCGTGAGGAGCGCAGCCACGGGTAAGCCCGGCGCCTGCGGGACTGGGTTGTGCACCTGCCCTGCACACGCCAGGCACAAGGCCACTGCCCGGTTTTGGGCCCACGAGCCTTAAAAGGACGTGTTGGATCAATCCAAGCGCACGTGGCACATTCACGGCTCTCTGCACAGCAGTAGAGGTGTGGAGCCAGATTAGACAAGGCCTCCTGTGGGTTCCTGCCCCATGACCAAGGAGCTCATTCCCAGAAAGTCATTCCTGACCCCATGCAGGCACTCTGCAGGCATCTGGAAGAGGCAGGAGTCCAGGCCCACACCCAGAGCAATTCCCGGGAAACCACGCCTCAGGAGCAAGGGGCGGGAGGGAGTATGGTGCACACTCCCCACCCACACCTGGTCACTACCCAGTGCCCCATCCATGTCCCTCTGGTGTTCTGGGCTGTCCGACAATGTGTGCAGGCTTTGGTGTGTCTTTTCCCTTCTCTGGGCCTGCGGTGTTTGGCCAGGGACCTCCCTGTGCCACTGGGCGGGGCATTCTGGTCAGAACGGATAGCATCCCTGGGAGGAGGGGTGGGAAAGAGCAGCCCCACTGAAGGGTTGAGGCAGTACTTGCCCAATACAAGGGGAAGACTTGAAAACATCCCAAGAAGGCGAAGGAAGTCAGCTGTTAGGGTCACTTAGTGAGCAAGCAGGAGACGCCCATGGCCTAGAAATACTTGTCTTCACCCCAAACTTTATTGCTTAACAAAGAGTTCTCTATATCCCCCATTCTGCAGTACCAAGGCTGCAGTTCTTTACATGCTGGGTGGGGTCTGTTCCTGGGAGCAGTCTGTCTTGATGCAAACAGTTGGACACAGGCTACCTTCTTTTTTTTTGAGACAGAGCCTCAAGCTGTCCCCGTGGGTAGAGTGCTGTGGCATCACTCACAGCAATCTCCAACTCCTGGGCTCAAGTGAGTCTCCTACCTCCACCTCCCAAGTAGCTGGGACCACAGGCACCGGCCACAACGCCCAGCTATTTTTTTTGGTTGCAGCCATCATTGTTGTTTGGCGGGCCCAGGCTGGATTCAAACCTGCCACCTTAGGTGTATGTGGCTGGCGCCTTAGCCACTTGAGCCACAGGCGCCGAGCCAACACGGGCAACCTTCACAAGATGTGGGGACGAGCTTTTTCCAAGGAGTCTCAGTGTCCCCTGCCCCCAGTGATTCACAGTTGATTTAATGCTACATGAGTCCTGAGCAGTTTCTCCCCACCCCCAGGGAAGAGGCTGGGCTGGGATAATGAGGAAGGGGTGCTCGTTTTAGAGAAATCAGGAAAAGGGTTCACAAACATGTGGGCAGGTCAAGACTGTTACTCCACCTCCTTGTCTGCTGTGCTCACACAGACCCACTGACCCACCCTGGTAGAGGGTGGCTGTGAAAGTGCTTTGAGGTCATCAGAGTGCAAAGTGTCACTGACAGTGCCCTATAATAGGGGCAGGGCAGGGGGAGTGTGATGTCCAGCTGCGCTCCTGGGGAGCTGGCATGTGGGTGTTGACAGTGGGGCCCAGGGCACAGGCACACCTACACCCTCTGCTTTCTTTAGCATCTGTCATGCCTCATCCACAGACCATTCCTGTCACCCTTCACCTTTACTGATGAGAGAACTGAGTGACAGCTAGTCCGTGGTAGTGCTGGGCCTGCTGCTCTAGGGTGGAGCAGGGCCAGCAGCACAGGAGCACACACTGGGGACTGAAAACCACTTAAACACCTCCTTTGGTCCCTGGCTGAACCAGAGTTCAACTCAGGACCTGTATTGCAACACCCTGAGAAGTGTGGTGTATTTCACCACGGAGACTTCCCAGTGTCAGTCATTCTTTCCTCCTAGATCTAAAAGGGAATTAGGTGACTAGGAACCCAGGGGTAGGCACACCTGCTGCCCTGGTCCTGCACCAGATGTGGTGTGGGCCCTTAGATCCTCGACACCCTCACAACTGCCTGGCGGCCACAGGGCCATCCAAGCCAGAAGCTGCTCTCCCCTGAGTGGCAGCAAGTGGTCACTGATCCAAACAGGCCAGGCCAACTCGACTGGAGCAGGGCAGAGAAGATCCTCTTCATTCCCTGAGGAAGAGTCCTGCCTTCCTCCTTGTCTCCTCACATGGGCGGAGTGTTCTCCTGGTGGGCAGGCCTCAGGTGGGAAATCCCGGGAGGCATGCTGCTTGCCGCTACTTCCCTGCTGCCGCCTCTGGTCCCAGGCTGAGCCTGTGTCTCAGGGTATTAGGGAGCTGCTGCCGGCAGAGCGGAGCCACCGGTGAGAGGTAGGGCTAGGGCCTATTCTCCAGCTGGCCGTGTTTGACTCTCCAGCTCCAGGCGAAGCTGCCATCAGGGGCCAAGGTGCACTGCAGGTCAATGCCCGAGTCTGGCACCTCCATGTCATAGCGAACAGGCTCCCCATCTTTGGTTACCAAGCTGAAGGCTGGAGCTGGGATCTGCAGGTGGAGCAAATCAGGGAGTGAGAGTGGCATGGGGCTCAGAAGCCACCCGGAAGTGCAGACATCCCACTCCAGCAATGTGGGCAGGCCTTAGGGCACTGTCTACCTATCATTCTGAGGTCTTGGAAAATCTGCCTGGCCCAAGTACAGGTCCTGAGAACCTCTCAATCACCATTGCCAGTCTTGCCCTGAAACTCTTGGAGGCATCTGAAGCCATGTCCAACTGTTTCCTCAGATGCCATTTTTTCTATGCAAAAGCCATCTTCCTGGAGGGCAGGGCTAGGTATTCTGGCTTCTGGGGAGTCTGCCCTACATGTGTACCTGTCTCCTTACCTGGCTGCTGATGCCAGTTGCGATGTCTCCCACCTTGACCCGGTGGAAGTCTCGAATGTGCAGGTGCTCACCATTGAGAGACTGTATTTGGACTTTCACGCCTAGAAAGCAGGCAGGACGACAGTCAGGACAGTGGTTGCTGGCTCCCTAAGGAGCAGGGCCCTGTCAGGGGCTGGGGGAACCTTTACTAAAGAGTCACTATTTAGAGGGGAGGCTGTGATGAAGCAGCAGAGATGAAATTTAGGCTGGAGCAGCTTTAATATTACACACCCGTGAGTTCTTCCTGGCTGTCAAAGCCTGGAATTTGCTTGCACATTGCCACAAGCTAAGGTTGGTTCCTTAGGGAATAGAATTCCAACCTGGTTGCAAAGCAGAAAGGAACTGAACACAAAGACTCTGAAATGAGATTGTGGGAACTTTCTTCCCTGAGCTGAAGCAGCCCTTGGCCAGGTCATGGGGGCCTGATGTCATGAGTCCTGCTGGCCCAGGGGAGGGCCAGGAAGCTGACAGCTAATGAAGCCCTTATTCTAGCAAAATCATAACATAACCTATGCAACCAAGCTTGGAAATTAAGAAATTATATGTTGTCTTTATCATCTTCTGACTTCAAATACCAGAGAAGGTATTTCCATGAAATTGCCATGTTCTTTTTTTTTTTGAGACAGAGTCTCAAGCTGTCACCCTGAGTAGAGTGCTGTGGCATCACAGCTCACAGCAACCTCCAACTCCTGGGCTTAAGCGATTCTCTTGCCTCAGCCTCCCATGTAGCTGGGACTACAGGCACCTGCCATAACACCTGGCTATTTTTTGGTTGCAGCCATCATTGTTGTTTGGAGGGCCCGGGTTGGATTCGAACCCGCCAGCTCAGGTGTATGTGGCTGGTGCCTTAGCTGCTTGAGCCACAGGTGCTGAGCCAATTGCCAAGTTCTTGATTAAAATGCTTCTGGATCCTATTCTTTTTTCCCTTCAGAAGACATTAATCACCCAGTTTCTTACTCCAGGCTGTGATAGACTGCTCTCCTCCCCAGGCTCAGGGGCCTTCTGGTCCTTCCGTGCCCCATCAGGAGAGGCTCATGGGCCCAGGTGACTTCCTCTGCCTTTCCCCACTAATGCCAGGGGAAGAGGGACATGACCCCCCTCAACGATTCCTTAGTCCCAGGCAGGTCAGCTGCTGTGGGGAACTGTACCATTGAAGTAGCTTGGGGTGTCAGTGGGCCGTCCCCGGGCTAGCACCATGTTCCAGCTGGAGCTCCGAGCCTCTGCTTGGCTGCTCCAGGAGTGTACCCCGGAACTCAGTGTGTCCCTTGAACTCTGTGAGGCCTTTGATGGGTTCTGAAACAAGAGGGGCACAGACTCAGGCCACCATCCCTGGCTTTGATCTCACTGGGACAAAGGGGTCCTGTGTCCTCTCCTGGATAAAGAGCTGCTCATGGCCCATGCTGGGGGAGGGTGAGGAGCACTTCTGTGAGGGACCAAGGCCTACCCCCCACTCTACCCAGGAGCTAAACACTCCTAATACAGTAGCTGAATACTAATTCTCAGGAGTATTGAAAATGTGAAACCATGACCTGCCCCATGTACCCCAGTGAGTACCTGTCCCAGCAGGAAGGGGTGACCCCCACCATCCTCCCTTCACCCATGACTTGCATAGCCCAGCCACATGCTCTGTGTCAGGGCTGGGAAAGCCACATCCCTGGAGCCATGGCAGACTCACTTTCTCGCTGTCATCTGACAAGGAGAGGCTGTCGATGCTGAGGCAGGAAAGAATCTGCTCCTGCTCCTCCAGAGAAAATGGCTGGGACAGGCTGTTCAGGAATAATTCTGCGGGGAGAAGTAGATACACTGAAAGGCCTGAGGAGGCTGGCTGGCTGGTCGGGGACCTCCCACACTCTGTCCCTGCCCTGGGCGGGGGCTGAGGGCCACAGCTGCAGAGGCCCCTACCTATTTCCAGCTGCTGCAGCTCCTGCTCAGGGAAGGCTGCTCTCCGCTCTGGTGAACTGGGGTTTCTGGCAGGGGCCGGGTCCAGGGATGACAGAGGCAAGGGTTCCCATATCCCAGACTCCTCCTTGCTCAAGGGCAAAGTGGGAGACTTGTTCGGCTCTGGGGGCTCTGGTGGCAGAGGAGGCTGAAGCTGAGGGGCCCCGGCTGTTGTGTTTTCAGCTGGCTGGGGCTCTGTGTGTGCTGGTGAGAGCTCCCTCGGCTGGGCATGTAGGGTCTGGTGGTGATTGGCTTGGTTTGGCGGTGGGTGTCTTGGTTCTTTATATTCTCCCCTCCAAGGGCTCTTCAGACCTCCCACTATGAAAGAGAGAGCATAAGTGGTGAGATGGGACTGTGCTACACACAGACGCCAGAAAAGGAAGGGCCTCTTCCAGTGGAGGAGAGCTAGAGGAGGGCAGAGACAGGGGACCCTGCCGGGGCCACTACAGGAGACAATTTAGGAGGGCAGTGTTCAATAAGATGGTCACACATAACAGGTGTAGGACCCTATTTCATCCTTTCATTCCATTTTCCTTCTAGGTATCAGTAGCAAATTCAAATCTATAGAAACAGCTCTGGAGAAGGACTTTGTTAATAGGAAGGAGAAAACTTAAAAACAGCTCAGGCAACACTAACTCAGAGTTCCCAGGAAAACTGGCCTCCCTGACTGGCTAACTCCGTGACCCGGTGATGACAGTTGGTGCCTCCCAACTGTACCATTTTTCTGTGTGTGCATGGGCGGGGGTGAGGGGGATTTCAGCCTGGGGGCCATCCTTGTCATTGGCTTTATTTATTTTTCATTCCTATAACCACTGCCCGCCCCCTGCCCACCCCTCAGGTGACATTCTATTATGTTCGATGTATTACTTCTACCCCCATTACTTTTGAATCAATTGTATTCCTGTAAAATGTGTGTTTTCATTGATCAATTTTTAATTTACAAAAAAGATATTATGCTCTAGGTTTTGTTCTGTTGGCTCTTCTCAGCACTGTGGTTTTATGACTGCTCCTCGGTGCTCCCCAGGTCACCCCTACTTTCTGTCTCTCCACTCCCACAAATGAAGCTGCAGTGCAGGCCCTCTGGTGTGCCCCTTTATGGATCTGGGGGTGCTCCTTTGGCAGCGCACCCAGAAATGGAGTACTTCAGTCCCAGTGTTCAGATATCAGCCTGAGTGTGGCCAGGTGACCTCCAGAGTGGCTGCAGCCTTCTCCATGTTGCCCCCAGTGGTGCCTCCAGGGTCCAACTTCCCCACATCCTCACCAACTTTGGTGCTACCAACTTTTCTGCTTTTTCCTAGTCAAATGGCCGTGGAGTGGTATCTGCCTGTATTTTGTAATCTCTGATTCCTAATAAGTTTGAGCCCCCTTTACATGTATAACCCTTTTCCACATTTCTGGGGTACTGCCTCTGCATCAAGGCCCAGCACTAGGCCTTGTACTCACACCACCACAATCTCCCCAACTGGTGTCCTTATACTCTAGGTGGGGAAACAAGGCTCTGAGAGGGTGAATACTTTACCCTGCCACCTCTTTGAGCCCATGGCTGTCTGCCCGCTGGGGGTTCTCACCTTGCTGCAGTGCCTGGCTGACCTTCCCCCCCAGCTCCACCGCAGATGCTCGGTGGACGGGCTCTTTCCTCAGCCCCTCATGGATGGCCTGGGCGGTGAGAGGGGCACAGGAAGGTGGGATCTCCCTCACAGGTGGAGGCTCACTGGCAATCTGGGGAGCAAAAGGCAATAGGTCCCTGTCATTCCCTTGTACCCAGCTTCCTGTTCTTGCTTTCTGCCCATCCCCTCTACCTCCCTAGGCTGTGTTGGGGTCTGTCACAAAAAATGGAGAGGCATGGACTAGAGTGAGGGCTAGCACTTTATCTAGTAAAGGATCCAGATGAGATAGGCTGGACCCAGGCAGCAAGATGCCATAGGGTCTAGGCCCAGCCTGTCAGGAGGCAGGTGGAGGTGGCCCAGGTATGGCCAGAAGAGAGTTCTCACCTGCTATCAACTCTAGTGCCTCAGCTGGGATTTCCCCTCGGGCCCCAGTTTTGGGTTGCAAGTATTTTTATCAGAATCTCATATATAATGAAGCCTCCCCTGCTCACATGTACCTGCAGCTTGCATTCCAGGGCCCTGCAGACTTCCCATCCTGGCCACCCCGGACCCGTCACTGACCTTGAGGCAGAGCGGCCCCCGGAAGTACTGCGTCCAAGGGTGGCAGCCATTGAGCATGTGCAGCATCATGCAGCAGCTGCTCCAGATGTCCACCTTGGCATCACAGGGCTTGCCCAGCACCACCTCGGGAGCCATGTGCGTCTCCGTGCCGGGGATATAGTCCCCTGAGAAGTGGGTGAGATGGAAAGTCACCTGTGAACTCTGATGGACAAGAGCCTTGGCAATGCCCACCCCAGATAATTCTTGGCGTACCCTGAATTTATCTCTGTTAAAGAACTTTAAATGCAGAAACAAAACCTCTAAGTCAAACTTGCTGGGGAGGAGCTGAGTCAGGGACTCTGCTGGGGACACGTATAAAGAAGGATCATCTATGACATGGGCTCTGCCCTTTGAACTAAATCCTTAAAGTGCTGGTTTTCTTCTCTCTTCCTCCCTCCCTCTCCACCTCCCTCCCTTCCTTCCTCTGTTTTGAGACTATCTTGTGCTGTTGCCTGACCTAGTGTGCAGTGGTGTCATCATAGCTCCCTGTAACCTCCAACTCCTGGGCTCACCCCATCCTCCCACTTTGGCCTCCCAAAGTGCTAAGATTACAGGCATGAAAGACCACACCTGGCCTAAAGTACTTCTTAAAAATGGGAAAGGGGGGGTGACGTCCGTAGCTCAGTGGGTAAGGCGCTGGCCTTAAACCCAGGCTGGCAGGTTCCAACCTGGCTCAGGCCAGCTGAACAACAATGACAACTGCAACAACAACAGCAAAAAAAAGCCGGGCGTTGTGGTGGGCACCTTTAGTCCTAGCTACTTGGGAGGCTGAGGCAAGAGAATCGCTTAAGTCCAAGTGTTTGAGGTTGCTGTGAGTTGTGGTGCCATGGCACTCTGCCCAGGGCAACATAGTGAGACTCTGTCTCAAATAAATAAATAAACAAAAACCAAAAAACAGGGAAGGGTCTGGACAATGAAAATTAAGTTATAGAAGACAAAATTACTGTATGATAGTCCTGAAATATTAGTAAGTAAAAAAAAACATAATAGAAAGCTTTTATGCATAGAAGACTGGAAAGCTTGATGGCAGATGGTAACATTGTTTTTTCCCCCCGTTGATTTGTATTTAAGATTTTTTTGCTTATCTCCACTGCAAAAAAAAAAAAAAAAAAAAAAATAGAAAAAGTATTACTTTTATAATAAGAAAAAAAACCCACTAAAGTTATTTTAAGGTGGAGGTCAGGTTGCCCATGTTCAATTTATGGCTTTAAGATTAACCAACACAGCTCTTTAACAACAATACACAATCAGATAGTTCTAAAAGTTTTTTTTCCTTTGGGCGAAATGAAATCATTTTATGTTTAATGCCATAAATGAAAAAGGCAGGGCACAAAATTGTGTTATAACAGCCTTAACTAGGCCCAGGAAAAAACAATCAAATTATCTGTGATAAAATATTCATGATTATCTTTCTGGGCAAGAGGAATGGTCAGAATTCTTTTCTTCCTTCTTTTTTATATACTTCACTCTGTACTAGCCAAATATTTCACATTGGGGATAGGTTTTTGTTTTTTTTTTTTTTTTGAGACAGAGTCTCACTATGTCACCGTGGCTGGAGTGCTGTGGAGTCACAGCTCACAGCAACCTCAGACTCTTGGGTTTAAGCGATTCTCTTGCCTCAGCCTCCCAAGTAGCTGGGACTACAGGCACCGCCACAATGCCCAGCTATTTTTTGGTTGCATTTGTCATTATTGTTTGGCAGGCCCAGGCTGGGTTTGAACCTGCCAGCTCCAGTGTATGTGACTGGCGCCCTAGCTGCTGAGCTATAGGTGCTGAGCCAGATTATTTTAATAATTAAAAAAGAGGAGTTAAAAATATATATTTCATTAGCTACAGAGCCCAGGCCTCTTGGATAGCCTGTCCACTGTGCTTCTGGCCCACTATGGTCAGAGAGGTGGGATAGCTAGGGACCCAGACCAGCAACACAAGCTCCCCCAAAAAGGCTCCACAAAATGGGGCACAGGGGAGGGCATAGGGGCTCCAAGGCAGAAGGTCTGGAACCTAGGGAGAGTAACCCAGTCTTTTCATTCTCTTCCTTATGAGAAGAGTACCAGAAATGAGTACCTGGGGTGAGCATGGTGGCTAATGCTTATAATCCTAGCATACTGGGAGGCTGAGGTGGGAGGACTACTTGAGCTTAGGAATGTGAGACCAGCCTGAGTAAAGACTGTCTCCACAAAAAAATAGAAGAATTAGTTGGGCGTGGTGGTGGAAAGTGACTATAGTCCCAACTCCTTGGGAGGCTGAGGTTGGAGGATATCGCTTGAGGCTAGGAGTTAGACGTTGCAGTAAGCTATGATCAGGCCACTGCATTCCAGCTTGGGTGATAGAGATAGACTCTATCTCAAAGAAAGCAGAAAAAAATCACCTGACATCCATTATCACATTGACACTAACAACAAAAGCCTGATAATCACCCAGGGTGGTTGCAGGGCTTAAATACATGGATAGACATAAAGTGCTGGCATCTCTTAATCCCACTGTGGAAAGCATGGAAGGCATGTGGCTGGTGCATCATGCGGAGGGACAGCGGGGGCCCTTACCTGTGAGCAAGGCCTTCCCCAAGCCATCAGGTTGAAGGCACATGGCATGGCCAAAGTCGCAGAGGGCTGCACGGCTCCCGTCGCTGGACAGGAGCACGTTGTCAGCTGTCATGCCGACACCAGGGAGGAAGAGGAATAGATGAGTCATGTCAGGCCCCAGCCCACCCTGGATTGGCTTGGCCTCCAGTGAGGCAACTTTCTGGCTGTCCCTATACAGCAGCTGCTGCTTCTGATTAGTTTCATTAGTCATGGAAGAAGGGAGGAGGGAATGGGCTCAGGGTAGAGGCAGGCAGCAGGCAGGATCTCTGAGGTGAGGGGACAGGAGCAGGGTTTACTCCCTGGGGTGCTGCCCCAGCCCTTTGCTAGGGTTCTATGTGGGTGCCATCTACTAGAAATTACAGTGCCAGTCTGAGGGCTTAGAGAACATTACCTCCCCACTGGGCACAGCCCTGTCAGCCTGACTCAGGCCCTACCACTAGAGTGAGCAGGGAGGGCCCAGAAGAACTTGGAGGAAATAAGGCAGGATGGCGTGAGGGAAAAGCCCACTGGGGACCAGGGCCATGGTGGCCTGAGCCTCACCTTTGACATCTCCATGCAGAATTCTTCGTGTGTGGAGGTACTGCAGTCCCTCCAGGGCCTGGCCCAGGTAGTAAAGGGCCCGGTCCTCTGGCAGACAGCCCTTCTGCTTTATTAGCTGACCCAGGGAGCCACCTAGGAGATCAATGGCCAGTTTTTACATGGGGCTTTCCCAGGCCTCCAATCCAGCCAAGGGCAGGTGGTGGGAAAGCAGGCCTACCCTGCAGATGTCACAGGGGCAAGAGGTTAAAAACAAATTGATCTGCTACCAAGGCCAATCTGGGCAAGACTGGGGGAAACTCTCAGCCCTGAATTCTCAGGGAGAATGAGATCTGGTTCCTTACCTTCTAGCAGCTCCATGAAGATATTAATCCAAGGACCTTCCTTCACAGCGCCATACAAAGGGACAATTCTGGGTGAGGTCAACCCTGCACATACCATCAACTCCTCTGCGCGAAACACTTCGACTCGTACCTGAAAGGGCCCAGGGGTGGCTATGAGTCAAGGTGAGGGCACCAGGGCTGGTTCCCTGTCAGGAGCCTGGTGCTCAATACACAGAGGCTGCTGATGTTCCCAGTTCCTGGCCTGGTGGCCTGCTGGACCCTCAGGGACTAAATGGTGTACCCCATGCCCTTGGCGTCAAGGGCACGTTCTTGTACTTTATTAAAGTTCTACAGTGCTGACCATGTGCAAAGTCACTCACAGTCACACAAAAACTACATTCCTTATTCAGGCTCCTGGAATGTTGCCCACCCTCAAATCTGCCAAACGTCGAACATTTATTTTACCTAGCCCGAATGTCTGGCAATGGGACATGGGCCTTTTGTTTATTAACATCTACCTTCAGAAGCTGGGTTTCTCCCAGCACTTTCTTAACTCCTACTATATTTGTCTCTCCCAGAAGACTAAAGTGTCCAAGTAGACAGGGCGCTGTTTATTGTGTTTGCAGCTGTTTCCCCAAATCTGGGCACATAAAGAGGCTTCTGGGAGGGGTTTGGACAAGGCAGGTCTAGGATCATTTACTCCTTTCTATAGAGACCAGCAGCTTGGCAGGAAGAATTAGGCCTAAGATACAAACATCTTGAACAAGGCAGCATACTTCCCATCAACATGTGTTTCCAATGCAAATTGTAGGACAGTGGTATCTGCTCCTGGATAGGGTGAAGATTTGGAAGGAGCACCAGTTGGAACTCAGTCGCAACTCAGGAAGAGTAGCACCCCACTTCTTCCAGCTCACAGAAGAGGAGAGGATTAAACGAACTTTTTTTTTTTCAGACAGAGTCTCAGCTCCTTTCTGTTGCAATTGTCATTGTTATTTAGCTGACCCAAGCTGGGTTCGAACCTGCCAGCCTTGATGTATGTGGTTGGCATCCTACACACTGAGCTATGGGTGCCACCTAAACGTGCTTCTTAATGAACACTGAACTGCTTCTGCCAGTTCTCATGCAGGCCTTGAGTGGTATCGCCAGGGGGCGCCAGTAGTAACAAGTAGCCTGGCGAGATGGATCAGGAACCTCCCCACAGTTTCCTTTGGAGACTTGCTGACTTGGCAAACAGGAGCTCTGCCCATACTGGGCTTTTGGACTTTTGCCTATTAGTGGAGAATGCGTGTCTTCTGGTTACTTAATATCTAGTTTGGTCAATAACCTCCCACGAACTTTGACTCTGTGTTTCCCTCTCTAAAAAAGGCCCTTGAATCTGAGTGGGAACTAATTCACTAATAGGACTGGCCCTAGCCAGTGTCTTCAACATCACCATCTGGGACTGTGAGCTAAAGCACCCCAGGACACCACAGAGAACTCAGAAGGACACCAAATGGATATGTGGAGGGAACAGCCACACTCACACCACATAAACTGCTGGCTAGAGACAGTTCAGCTTCAACATCCAGTCACACTACGTTCCTTCTGATGATTTATCTTTATGAAGCTCAACTCCAGGGCTGCTGGCCATTTGACCTCCTGAAGGCCTTTCTGGCTCAGCTGCTGTGCCTTTGCTCAGGAGGGTGCGTCCCCAGGCTGCTTCCCTCCGAGCTGCCTGCATGCTTGATGTGGGGACCACTTTTCCCTCCTTGAACTCTCCCTTCTTCTTGTTCTTCTTCTTCTTTTTTTTTTTTTTTAGTATTATCTATTTTATTCCATCGGTAAAAAGGGACGCTTGCAATTCTCTAAGTGCTTTTGAAGATGCCAGGAATATAAACTACGAGAAAGGGACTAATACAGTGCCGAGCACAGAGACCTCCTGTAAATATTAGAGGTCCCCTCATTTCACCACAGTGGTTGTGATGAAAATATTCTCTTCTTTGTCCTTGCTCCCTTTTAATCTAAACTTGTGTCCAGGGCTAAAGGCTGTTCACCTCTATCCTATATAAATATCTATTCCCATTACAACTTGAATTCCTTCAAGTAAGAAGGAATCTGTGAATTCTACATCCCTGTCCCCAGGCCCTGAAGAGGTTGGCACAGAGCAGGTACTTGGTGACAGCTGGGAAGCCTTGGCCAGGGCTGTACTATTCCAGATCAGTGGCAGAGCCAAAGTGGCTCCCAAAATGCCACGAGCAAGCCAAATGTTCTAAAATGAACGGTTCTTCACCTTCTTTGGGCCAGTGACCCCTTTGCAAATCTGGTAAATTATATGGACCCTTCTCCACCAAAAATGTGTGCATGCTCATACACACAACACACATTTTTGAATAAAGTTCCCTGAATTCATGGATCCTATGAATCCATCCACTAACCAGGATAAGAATTTCTACATTAGCAGTTAAAAAGTGCAAGAGAGTTGTATATGTATGTACCAATAAGGAAATCTGTCCTGAATATACCATTACATGAAAAGAACATGGTACAGAATAAATAGGATCTTTTTTTTTTTTTTTTGAGACAGAGTGACCCTTGGTCTGTTACCCAGGGTAGTGTGCACAGGTAACAGAACAAGCAACCCATTGCTTGTTAACAGCAACCTAACTCACAGCAACCTCAAACTCCCAGGCTCAAGTGATCCTCTTGCCTCAGCCTCCCAAGTAGCTGGGACTACAGGTGTGCACCACTACACCTGGATAATTTTTCTATTTTTAGTAGGGATGGGGTCTTGCTTTTCTCAGGCTGGTCTTGAACTCCTAACCTCAATTGATCCTCCTGCCTCAGCCTTGTAGTGTTAGGATTATAGGTGTGAGCCACCACATCCTGCTGGATCTCATTTTAATAGAAGAAACAACTAACATGTTCACATATTCATAAAAAGTCTAAAAAACATTTATGACAAAGGGCAGTTACCTCTGAGACTAGAAGTGGGGAAAAGGGAAATTTTAGCTTTTGGGGGTATCACTTGAATTCTTTTATAATCAATCAGTATCTGTTTGCAATTAAAAGATTAAACAAAAGCTTAAAAAATTAAAAAAACCCTGGATTAAACCCTGGACCCATGGGCAACTAGTATCTGGGCAAGGGTGTTCTAGAAGGGGGACCAAGGGAGTGCTGGTACCCCTTGGTGATACTACACAAGCTGGATTCTCCCTGGGGGACACTAAAGAACATGATTTGCTCTGACCCTATGCAGCCTGACCTCTGATCCCTGGTCCACCTCCCGGTCCCTACCCCTTAATCAGGGGACTGCTTCTTATGTAATCTTCCAGCTGAAAATCCTAAAGGTTATCACTGCCTTGAGAGAAAGGCGGGGCAATCTGCCCAACCAACAGCAGCTGTGTGGGCTGCAGAAGGGCTGTCTCCAGAGTGCCTCTAGGTGGCAAGCAGGTGGTTCTGAGAGTGGCCAGCTCTGGTGCTGGGAAGTTCATGCCTTGTGTTAGGACCTCTCCCAACTGCCTTCTTGGGGGTGGGGTGAGAAATGGAGTATTTTCCTCTTCCACTATATTAGGGTTGTTTACCTTGTTGCCCAGGACTCTGAGGACCTCAGCAGGGGAACAGCTGAGAAGCCCAGTGACTAAGCTCCCAGCACTGGGTGCCCATCTCTAGGACACTTCACACTCTCTCGCCCTCCTCCCACTTCTCAGGAGGGACAGCTGAACCTTCTCTGGTAGCCTGGGGAGGAGAACTGCAGCTGAGTGGGGGCAGGCACGTGGCCTTGGCATTCAAGTGGAAGATTAAGATCATGGCTGGCAAGAACTCAGCACAAAGATTCTGTTGGTGGGGGATGATGAGGGTGGAGCTTGCTCATTTGTCACAGTGTGTCTAAACTTTGGGGTAATGCCTACAGGTAGTCCCCTCCCTTGTCCCACACCTCTGGCCCTAGTTCAAATCTGGGAAGCCAGGTTTATTCACATCACAGTTGGATCCTCACCCCTTAAGGCCACAGGCACCCATGGCAGTGGTGGCAGTGTTCATTCGTTTTTTTGTTTTTTTGTTTTTTTTGAGACAGAGTCTCACTATGTCCTCCTCAGTAGAGTGAGGTGACGTCACAGCTCACAGCAACCTCAAACTCTTGGGATGAAGTGATTTTCTTGCCTCAGCCTCCCAAGTAGCTGGAACTACAGGCACCGCCACAACGCCCAGCTATTTTTTGGTAGCAGTTGTCATTGTTGTTTGGCAGGCCCGGGATTGGATTCGAACACGCCAGCTCTGGTGTATGTGACTGGTGCCCTAACTGTTTGAGCTATAGGCACCAAGCCAGCTGTGTTCATTCTGCATGGGGCCTGAGTATGCTGGACCTGTCTGGTCTGGGTTGAATGTCCTTTATCTGAAATGGGTGGGACTAGAAGTGTTTTGGATTTCAGATTTTTTTCAAATTTTGGAATGTTTGTGTTATACTTACCAGTTGAGCATCCCTAATCCAGAAATTCAAAATACCCCAGTGTGCATTTCCTCTGAACATCATGTTGGTGTTCAGAACGTTTTTGAATTTGGAGCATTTTGGATTTTTGGATTTGGCACGCTCAACCCACCTGTATTTGGTCCCTTTCCTTTTGGGGATGAGTGTCTTTCCATAAGCCACTGGAAACAAGGTCCACCTCTGGACTTATTTCACCCTGTTCAAGGGACCAAGACAATGGTCCACAGAAACACATTGAGGTCCTGGTGCTAGCTTTTTTTTTTTTTTTGAGACAGAGCCTCAAGCTGTCCCCCTGGGTAGAGTGCCGTGGCATTATAGCTCACAGCAACCTCCAACTCCTGGGCTCAAGCAAGTCTCCTGCCTCCGCCTCCCAAGTAGCTGGGACCACAGGCGCCTGCCACAACGCCCGGCTATTTTTTGGTTGCAGCCATCATTGTTGTTTGGCGGGTCCGAGCTGGGGATTCGAACCCGCCACCTTAGGTGTACGTGGCTGGCGCCTTAGCCGGTTGAGCTATAGGTGCTGAGCCCTGGTGCTAGCTTTGAGCTAAGAGTTTGGCCAGGGACAAAGTGGCTGGTGTTAATGGGCAGCTGAGAGTCAGGGGTAGGGAAAAGATGCTGATGGGGGCAGGGCTGCTGCCGGTTAGCCTGTGGACCTGCTACTGCCATCGCTTCTCACGCTGAGCCTGGACAGTGTGGTCTCAAAGGAGGCCTCAGCTCCAGGCCCAGTGGTGTGGACTTGGGCAAGATACACTATTCTCTCTGGTCTCCAGTTCTAACTGAGATGAAGGGGTGGGAAAGGTGATTCATGTCTTCTGCCTGTAATCAGAACCCTAGGACAAGTCAATCTTCTCTTTTGCCTCTTCCTGAAGAGTGGTTCCAAGTCAAACTCTAGGGTGGGACAAACCTGGGTCTGAATTCTGGTTCTGCAACTGGGCCAGTTACTTAATCTCTTGCTAAGTTTCACTTCCTCATAAGGTCCATCTATGGGAGTGAATTGTACCTGGCTGATAGGAAGTGGAGCTCAAACTCAAAGCAGATCTAACTCTCAAAGTGTGCAGCCTCCTCAGGAGCCCCCTGGTAGGGGAGGGCTACTGTTCATACTGTCTTCTCGTCCAGGTGTGGGGCACCTGTTGTGTGGCTTAGGGACTTTAGTTTAGCATGGATTTCATAATGATCCAACCATCTTCCAGGTCCTGACTTGCCCCTAAGGGCTCAGGTTGTATCCACACCAAGGCTGTGTGCTCCCTCTCCCACTGGCTCACACATGCATACCAAGGGCAGCAACCAGGCCAGGACATGTGACAGACTGCTCCCTTCCACTTCCAGCTGACCCAGGGCAGCTAGCAATAGTTATGCTCTGTTAACAAGTCAGGCTCATGGCCACCCTGTGACTGTCCTTGACAGAAAGCAGAGGAAACACACCAGAGGCCCTGCCTGCTTTCCCTCTTCAGCCCCCGAGCCCTGGCATACCTTTTTGACAGCACACTGGAAGCCAGTTTGCTTGTCTTCCATCCTGTGTACCTCTCCGAAGGAGCCTCTGCCCAGGCAGGGCTGGTGCATGGCCCAGTGGACTTCTTCTCGATACTCATAATCCACTGGCTTGAGCTTCTGGGGTTGGCAGGAGAGAGAGGCCAGTTTCAGTGGCCAGGACAGCAGAAAGAGGGACAAAGGCTCTCTAGCTGGTGTTCCTCTCTAAGTCTGCTGAGCTGAGCCCTCACAACCGGATGCCCCTGGGTCTAAGGCAGGGATTTGATGGGGGCAGGACAACTGAAGGCAAAGGAGAGGTTCACGGGCTGCCTGAGGCCAGCTGATCCCTAGGCCAGCCAGACCATTTCCCATGCTTGTGATGATGGGACAGAAATGGAAATGCCAACAAACCTGGCAGAAAATATAACCTAAGTTAGAAGGCAGAAGAAAGGGAGGAACAGAGGAGAGAGGCAGGGGACCAAGGGGGTGATATTAAAGTGGCTGGAATAACACCCAGAAATTAAACTTTGGCAAAATCATTTAAAGCTGCAAAGTTATCTGGAAGAGAATCAGAGGGAAAGGGGAGGAAGTGGGTGGGAAGAAGGGCATAATCCCTGTCTCCCATCTCAAGTTGCTGTTGGCTCATTCCTGTGTTATTCACACGGTACACACATCTCAGCAATCGTGAGGCTACCAACCGGAAGAACTAAGGATAGAAATAGCTAAAAAGGCTGTGAAAAGTGAGGCTGGAGGTGGAGTGAGAGACTGTTTTTCATCCACAATGAGCACTGTCTTACTATTTGGTTTGTCACTACAGGCAAGAGTGACCTGATAAAGACAGAGAAGCATCCACCCGAGGACTGGTGGGTTTCGAGGGGCACCTCTCCTCCTTGACTCCCAGCTGAGGCTCTCATAATGGAGGTGCTGGGGAAGCGACGCGGACAGGTGTTTGGGGGATTAGTTACCTCAGTAAGCAGGACGCCCTCGCTGTCCTCAGTTTCAGGGCTGGACTTCCGTGGCCTGGAGCCCCCTGCTGACCAGGTCTTGGCCAGGCTGGCCAGGCTGTGGGCGCGGCCTGAGCTCACACTGCCTTGGAGAGCGTGTACCAAGTACTCCTCCACGGAAAACTTCTCACAGGTGCTACGAGACAGGTAGCTGGGCTCCAGGTATGGGTCAGGCAGGGGCTTCTGACTGTCTACACAGGCCAGTTTGCTCAGGTGTGGGCCAGGTAGGGGCTTCTGACTGCCCACACAGGCCAGTTTGCTCAGGTGTGGGCCAGGCAGGGGTTTCTGACTGTCTACATAGGCCAGTTTGCTTAGGTGTGGGACAGGCAGGGGCTGTTGGCTATCTATACAGGCCAGTTTGCTCAGGTGTGGGCCAGGCAGGGGCTGCTGGCTATCCACACAGGCCAGTTTGCCCAGGAAGAAGGACTCAAGGGGGTGAGGTTTCCAGGGCTGGAGAGGGTGGATCGGGAAGGGGTGGGGCAGTCCGCTGTAGGGGAATGGGTGAGCAGGCAGGGGGCCTCCATCCTGGGGGTAGTGGAGTTTCCACACATGGTTCAGACATTGCAAGGGGCTGATCAGTTTGTGAAGTTCCGATCGAGGCAGGGCTGGCCGAAGGCCCCCGCCAAACTGCTTAAAACTGAGCTGGCCAAGGCCTGGTTCCTTCAGAGGCTTGGTGAACTGGGGATTATTTCTAATATACGGGGTGCCAAGTGGAGACTCATCCTCCTGTGGGGGGAAAACCAGTGTCAGGAGACAGGGCCAAGGCCAAGACACAGGCCCTGTTAGCCTGTTTCCAAGGCCCCAGGAGCCTGGGTCTCACCTGCACTGGAATGGTGCAGCTCTCTTGCTCAGGGGTTCTGGGAAGGGGTTTGGCCAAGGTCACTCCTGTATGAGCCAGGGACTTCGAGCTCTTCTTCTTCCTTTTCTTCCGGGTTTTGCTGTGCCGCTTTCCCTTCCAACACACACGGGCCATTTTGCCCTCAGTTGCATGGGCCACATTGTTGGGAATTTGATCAAGGCCTTCAGACTGGCTGTCAAAAAAGGGAGAGAGCTGCATTTTGAGCACATGAGGCAGGAAGACGGAATGGGTCAGGTACCCAATTCTGGTGTCATACAGGCCCAAGGTCAATCCCAGCTTTGTCATTACTGTGGAAAGTTCCTAAAGCTTGAGGAACCTCAGTTTTATCATTTATGAAATGGGTATAGTGTTTTCTGCCATGCAAAGTGAGATGAGGTTTAAATGAAATAGTTCATATTAAAAGCCTACCTCAGTGCCTAGCCCTTGGCACATGGCCAGTAAACTCTGCTTACTACCCAGGTGCTGGGGCACTGGCTCAGCCCCTCTCAGGGAGGGTGGTGGTAGCAGACACACAGCTCTCGTACTGCTCTCCAAGGGGGTGGCCCACACTCAGGGAAGGCCTGCTCAAACCTGACTGGCCAGAGGTTGTTTCTGTAGCCACTGGATGGGGGGACAGTTGAGGCTGCTTGCCTCCATCTTCACAGGTTTCTGGCTGCTGTCAGAATGTGAGGAGCTGTATAACCACAGACGGCCTGCCTGGGCTAGTGCTGGGTACTGGGGAGCCTGTCCTCTGCCAGCCTTGGGACCCATCACCATCCTGGCTCTAACTGGGCTGGTATCCCTGCCAAGTGTTCAAGAACTGGCAGTTGAGGGCTTCTGAAAGGGCTGCTGCAAACAGGTGTGGAGCAAACCCTGGCCTCAGCCACCCTCCTCTGGCCTCCTCTGCCTCACAAAGGAGGCCAACTAACCCAGTCCAGGGGCCTGGTAGAGGCCTCCAGGCTTCTCTCAGGCAGCTGAAAAAATTGTGTATCAGAAACCTCCTACCCTGGACCAAAGGCATCCAGGGCGATGTAAAGAATTTGACCAAACTCTAAGCATTTCTAGGTTCTAGGGCAGCAGTCTTCCCTACATGCTTTTTATCCCTTACAGTTCCAAATTCCAATGATACAAAAGTCCTTCTGGTGGTAGAGGAGGGGACTGTTTCTAGATTGAATTGTCAGTTTCCAAAAATCATCTCTGGGGGAATAGGGAGCCTAGGAACAAACTGAGCCTCATCCTGGAGTCTGTTCCCTCCTGTTCCACAACCCTCATCCCTACTCAGGTATGTCTCACAGGAGAAAAGACAGCAGGCTCCTCTCCTGGAGGACAGTGAACTGCCCCTCCAGGCCTGTGTTACTGGCCACGCACCAGCTCCTGTTCCCAGCACCCTCCCTGTTATGGGAAACCAGGAGCTGCATCAGGGACTCTGAGGAGAATAAAAATAAAATGTCAAGTTGATGTGACCCAGAGGCAGTCATCCAGAAGCTGTGAAAAGCTTTTGAAAAGCTTATTTGGCTGAGAGAGCAACTCAACCTGGGCTAATGCCAAGAGCTGAACCACAGGTGCTAAAGGGGAGGGAAGCCAGGTGAGTGGCTGGGGGCAGACCCTGCCTTCCCACTCAGGCTGGCCTTCTTACCTGTACTGTTTGGACCCAGCAATGAAAATTCGTTCTGAAAAGGTGGGGCTGAACTCTTGGCTATTCTCACCTTTTAAATAAAGGGAAAGGAAGTGAGTTAACAGAAAGAAGAGAAAGAATAGGGATTCAAAACTCAGGAGACAGACACTTGTTGGAGATCCTCTCTTGGGCCTCTCCTCCTTCCTCCCAGACCAGCCTTGTGTGGCAGCTCACTTCCCTCCCCACGCCCCCTTCTCGCAGGACGGTCTCTCCTCTCCTTCCCAGCATGATAGTAAAGAGCAGACCACAGTCTCAGCCACCATCTGTCACAGAGCCACGACTATAACATGGCTCACAGGGTGCCTACCTCACCTCACCCTGAGAAGCTGAAGCGAGATAATCTACATAAAACACTCAACACAGTGCCTGGCACATAGTACCAGCTCAATAAATAGAAAACTAAACCATTATATATATATATATGTACATGTAAGTGTATATATATGTGTGTGTGTCCAAAACCATTATTGTGTCATTTACTCCATTTTAATTTTTATTCTCTTATCTCTTCTTAAAAACCAACCAGAAGGCAGTAGGAGATGAGGGGAAGGAGGTGTACTGTGTGAAAACATGCCATCCCTCGCTGTTAGGCTCTCCAGGTGGCATGTCGAGAAATCTCCAGGGTTGGAATGTAGGTGCTAGAGAAAGAGAACCTGTGGCCCTCCCCAGCCCCCTCGGGAACTTCTGTCTCTAGGGGATGCCGTCACTGCTAGTCATCTCGAGGTGTGAGCAGAGGCACAAAAGACTGGACCAGGCCTCACCCTGCTGCCCCTAGACTGGCCACGCAGGCTCGAGAGCAGGGTATTCACCCTTTGGGGTGGGGCTACTTCTAGGTGGAAGGTGGTGAAGGGCCTACGGGCCTTGGTGGGGCTTTCCAGTTCCCCTGCCTGGGCCTCTCCAGACGCTTGGGCCACTCAGTGTCACCCCAGACAGTTGCTGGCCTGCTTGACAGTCCTGCAAAGAGCCCCAAGCATTCTGGCCTTTTACTCCTCACTCCCCACTCTGGTCACGATGGGCACAGTCTCCCCTCATCAAGTCTCCATCTGTGTTCCATCCTAGCATTCTACAGCTCCCACTTCACACTGATCTTGGCTCACACCCACAGTTGTATCCCATGAAAATCTTCTCTAGTGGTCACCCTGACCTCTCTCTGCCACAGAGGACCCCTGTGCCCAGCCACCCACCTGCAAGGCCCACCCACTTGCCCTTGTGCCCACAACAACCCCAGCCCTTACATTCGGCCTGGGCGATGATGGAGATGGCAGCCGGCCCTCCCTCGGAGCCTTCCTTGGCTGTGCCTTTGGTAATCACATCGTTCAGGATTTCCCACTTCCCACAGAACACGTGGCTCTTCTCCACGACCTCACACTTGTAGACAGAGCTTTGCTTCTTCCCCATCGGCTGTGTCTTCTCCTTGGCTTTAGCCAGTTCCTTCTGCTGCCCAACTGCCGAGCCAGGGGCACCTGGGCAGGCCATTTCCATCACTGCCATCTCCCAGGCTCACGCTCACCCTAAGAAACCAATACAGAGCAGGTCACTCATAGAGCCTGGGAGGCACAAAACAGGCTAGGGTTGGAGGACACAAGCAAGGGCAAAGGGTCTCTGCCTCTTTATGACACATGTATTTATCCTCCAAACATGCCCAATGGTAACACAGTGAACCTCTCATCATCTACACATGTTCTGTGTGGCACAGACCCCAGTCCCACCCAGCATCTCCACACAAACACAACACCCCAACTATGCCCAAAGAGGAGGATGCCAGCCCACTCCCTCTAGGTCAATGGTAGCACAGATATTTGAATTGGTTCTTTCTTGCCTTTATAATAGTTAGGTCTTTTTCTGTTCTTTCATGATAAACTCTGCTTCCTTGGGACAGGGTGGTGAATCCCATCCTCCAAAACCATCACCTTATCCCACATAAGCTTTGCCTTCTTGAAAGGACATGTCTACCTACACTATCCACAGTGGCTTTTCTCCAAGCGGAGAGAATCAAGGTATTGTTCTCGGGTGGCGCCTGTAGCTCAGTGGGTATGGCGCCGGCCACATATGCCAGGGCTGGTGGGTTCAATCCCGGCCCGGGCCTGTTAAAACAACAATGACAACTGCAACAACAACAACAAAAATAGCTGGGAGTTGCGGCAGGTGCTGTAGTCCTTGCTACTTGGGAGGCTGAGGCAAGAGAATTGCTTAAGCCCGAGAGTCTGAGGTTGCTGTGAGCTGTGATGCCACAGCACTCTATTTAGTGTGACAGCTTGAGACTCTGTTTAAAAAAAAAAGGTTTTGTTCTGTTTCCTAGCAGGAGTAGATGTGTGTGTGTGTGTGTGTGTGTGTGTGTGTCTTAGGCAGTCTAAAAGTCAGCATGGAAATGGCGCTCAGCACTTGGCTGCTTTCCTAAGATGCGTCTGTACGTGCTCTCCAGAAGGAACTGACATGCTTCTTCCTCGAATGTCCAAACTCACTGGCAGAAAAGTTCTAGGTAGCATTTTCCTTTCAGGCAACCTTTCACACTGATTTGAAGACCCTAACACCAACCTATACCTCTAAAAATAAAATGACAAAGCCCAAGAATTCACCTTTTTCTGGATTTTTGGCTTGCCCAGCCCTGACGTTACCAAGGAAGCTGCGAGGGAGAGCAGCCCAGAGTTGCTGACAATCTGTGCACACAGCCTGTAGATTAGAATTGTCATAACAACATCAGTTTGAGATTGTTACCATTTGGAAACCTTTTTAAAGACAGGGACTTTTTCAAGGGCAGGGCCCCTCTGGGGTGTGACTTGCTTTAGACAAAGCCTGAGAAGGTACCAAAGGCAGACAGGTTTTTTAGTATATGTGCTGCGGAAGCGAGGTTTTTTAATAATTGCTCTCTGATGGTAGGTTGGTCTTGAGGTTAATACAGAGGTTGTCTTCCCTGCTGTAACTCCATGAAACCTGGCTTACTCCTTTTGCTCTTGTGGCAGAAGGACAGACCACATGAAGCCAAGCCTCTAACCCCTCTGGCCTTTTGTCCTATCAGGCCTGAAGGTTAAATGAGACAGTGGGAAGTAGAGAGATACTAGGTCAAAGCCCTCTTCCTACTGAACATGCCTCACTCATATTTTCCCACCAAGATGGCTATGAAAGGCTGAGTCAGCTGGATTGTGGGGGGTGCCAGTCACTATTAATTAACTCTTTGCATCTCTGTCTTCAAGGGCTTCCTGGCTTTGAACTCAGACCACCTCCAGCTTCCTGTGTGGATGCCTGGATTCAGTTCTGAAGGGCAGATGCCAAGGGGTGCAAGCAGGCAACCTCCTTGGTACCTGAAGATCTGAACGAGTCTAAGGGGTGTTCTGATGTCTCCAAGGTAGGCTACTTTTCTTGTAACCTGACTTTCATCCCCCGCTTCATACCTCCCCAACCTATGCCACCTCCAAATAAGGAATTGACCCAAGGCTTAGTCAGTCTGACTTTCTCGGGCTCCTTACCAGGATTAATGAGATCTTAAGCAGAAACCAAAAAACCCTCCTAACCTAACAGCAGTGGAGCTGTGCTTACAGGGAGCCTGATGTGGCTTTAACTTCCTCATGTTTATTGGAAGAACCTGAGGCCTAATTAAGTGGACCCTGTCCAAAGTCACCAGCCCCCGTGTGGCACAGCAGGCCACAACTTAGACCCCAGACTCTTGGGGCTGCACTGCCCACTCCCCAAGTCTCCTGGGTTACAAGCAAACTCAGGAGGCAATGCTCATGGTCTTCCCCAGTCAGAGGCTCCAAAGGGCAGAGGTGGCTTTGCATGCCACGCCTCCTCCTGTATGTAGCACAGACAAATGATAATGACTGAAATAAAGGATTTGGGGCTCGGCACCTGTGGCTCAAGTGGCTAAGGCACCAGCCACATACACCTAAGGTGGCGGTGCGAATCCAGTCCGGGGCCCGCCAAAACAACAATGACAGCTGCAACCAAAAAAAAAAAAAAAGTTGTACTGGGCGCCTGTGGTCCCAGCTATTTGGGAGGCTGAGGCAGGAGACTCGCTTGAGCCCAGGAGTTGGAGGTTGCTGTGAGCTGTGATGCCACAGCACTCTACCCAACGGGATAGCTTGAGGCTCTGTCTCAAAAAAAAAAAGGGAGACTTGAAGGACAAAGAATGCTCTTCCATGACCTCTAGAGAAAGGATGATCCCGAGCACTGAGGAGGAAGAGTGGTGAAGTGGTATCTCCAAGGGCACTTGCTGCTCAGAGACCCACCTGTGCTCAGGCCAGACAGCCTGTCTCTGCCTGCAGTGGCCCAACGGAGTGTTCTGGAGAGCTCATCCTGAGCTAGAGCTCCTCCAGAGGGGCTGTGGGGCACCCCTGCAGCCCCAGGAGCCATCCTTTCCTCCTAATGGTGAGCTGGCCAGGGCCTTGGTCCTCCCTTCGTGAATGTGCCAGGTTCCCACTCCCCCGAGAAGCTGGGGCCTAGGCTGAGACAGCCGAGCTCAGAACCTCCTCTGCAGTTCCCTGGTGACTCATGCGACAGCCGGGCAGGCAGGCAGTAACAAGGAGGCTGTTGAGAAGCTGACCCAGCAGATGGCAGCTGAACTTGTGAAGGGCACAGGAAAAACAGGCCGATCCTCACCTCCTGGGGGCACAAATCACGGCCTGGGAGCTGTAAAGCTTCTCCTATGGCTGGCTTTCCTGTCCCACATGACCATGACTCAGACCTTCACTGATAGTCTCCAAGTTTAAGAGGCTATTCTTGGGACACTTTGGCCTGACAGCAGCTCTCCTACACAGACACACACGCTTGCCCCCTCCCTCTTTCCCCACTTCTGGTCTGGGTTCTGGTCTACACAGAAATCAGGGTTCTGGATTAAGCCTGGGGCTGTTGGCCCCATAGTCTTCCAGCCTTGGGCTTTGGCCTCTTGCTTCTTACCCCAGCTCACACTCCTACAGCTTTACCCCTTCTCTCTCCTGCAGCGAGTGGGCAGTGAGGACTAAAGTCCTCTGCCCTTTTTTTTTTTAAAGGTCCTCTGCTTTTGAAGGCAAGTCAAAATCGTCATCCAGTTCCTCAGCACAGATACGACCCAGCTCCATTCAGGCCCCAGATGCACTCAGCAGCAGCAATGGCCAAACCTGGCTTCCCCACAAGCCCATGGAAACAAAAGAGGAAAGGAAAGGCGTAGACCTCACTCAGTACCTTCTGGGCCTGACGTATACACAGGCCTGTTCTCTCTCCTATAGTGCGTCACTGACCCCATGGAGAAGTCTGGGGGATAGGAGTGACCTAGATGGTACCAGATCAACCTGTGGGCACATCTGCTAGAGGACTTCTTAATCTGGGGTCAAGCATGGCGTCAGGGAAGGCTATGAGCTCCAGAAACTATATATAATTTGTGTTTTTCCAGGGAAGATGTGGCCTATACTTTCTACACATCATCTAGGAGTCTTGCACTCCCCAGAAGGTGCTCTAGTCTCCCTAAAAGACCACACTGGGACTAAAGGACCAATTCTTTTTTTTGAGACAGAGTCTCATTCTGTTGCCCTGGGTAGAGTGCTGTGGCTTTATAGCTCACAGCAACCTCAAACTCCTATGCTCAAGTGATCCTCTTGCCTCAGTCTCCCAAGTAGTTGGGGACTAATGGCGCCCACCACAACAACCAGTTTTTCTATTTTTAGTAAATATGGGGTCTTGCTCTTCCTCAGGCTGGTATTGAACCCCTGAGCTCAGGTGATCCACTTGCCTTGGCCTCCCAGAGTGGTAAGATTACAGGCAGGAGCCACTGTGCCCAGCCTAAATGCTTGGTTCTTGCTCTACTCTTTCTCTCCAAGGAGATCTCTCTAATGCAGTGGTTTCCAAACTGACTTCAAGTTAGAATCACGAGATGAGTTCTTAAAATGCACTCCTCTTAGACCTACTCCATCAGAGTCACTGGGCGTTGGGCCCAGAATACGTACTTCTTAAAAGTTCTTTGGACAATTCTGATCCCAAGAGGCGAGGATGCCACTTGACCCCTGCTCTTTACTCTTAGGCTACACTGTTCAAAATGGTAGCCACTAGCAACATGTGGCTATTTATATTAAAACGAAATAAAATTTAAAAATCACTTCCTCTGGTATACTCGCTACCATATTGGACAATGCAGATAAGGAACATTCCCATCATTGCAGAAAGTTCTTTTGGAAACGCTGGTCTAAGGCTACGACAGCAATGTTTTTCTCTGACAGCAAAATTTCTGTTCTAAGATTCTGGGACAGGAATGGGTTTTAGGCCAAATGAATTTTTGATTCACTGCAAGATGCAAAAGTAATGTTTTAAATGTTGATCTTCAAAGATGGTCACCTTTCTACAATGTATCATATTTCAGTTCCCTGTTTTGGTGAGCACAGCACAGAGAGAACGCCAGACTAGGAACCAGAAGTTATGGCTTCTGGCTTTGGCAAGTTTTTTTAAAAAAAGAGCAGTGGGACCATTTTTGTCAAATGAAATCATACCCCAACTCCCAATGACTAAAAGAGCTAGCAGCATGCAACTGGCATGCAAATCACATTAGAAA